TGTACATAGGCAGAAAATGCTATGACTTTCAACAAAAAGAAACAAAAATTAAAGCAGGAAGTTGTGATACAAACGGAAAAACAATGTGTAAAAGTGAAGGTTAAAAAACGGATACAACAGAAAAAAAGTGGCATGATAAATATACAGAATTGCGTTTCACAATAAAATAAAACGACGGAAATGCGAGCAGAAATGGTTTTCAAATGGGGAGAGAGAACGTTTTATTTGTTGAGTAACTTGGAAAAAATGACGCATTAAACATTGTTAACATCCATTCAAAATTTTCAAATTATATATTGAATATTAAGTTTCAATGAGTGAATCATCTTGAGGGCGAAGATGCTGATAATGATAATAATTTCAATAATGTAAGAATGTATCTTTAAATAAAGCATCTTCTAATATCAAACTAAATCTAGATTTGTTATTGACTATAATTGACAGAAGATAGTTCTGATCTGTTTTTATATACTGATTTATTTGAAAAAAAAATGCTAAAAAATTTCTCAATGGAATGAAAATTAATCTGCATTTTTGTTTAATATTCAATCAATTTTTTAAAACGTTGATTTGGACAATAAAATATTTCATATAGAGAAAAAAAAAACCAAGATACAGTTCTTTTTTTGTCGTTTACGGACGCACATCTGTTTTCTTATCATAAAATAGAAGTAAATTTATAGTAGTACGCTTTGTACCTCTATGTTATATAAAAATACACTTGCGTCAATAATCCACATAGTGAAATAACATATACGTAAAAAAATGCTTTTTGTCTTCCGTTTTACGATAACTATTTATATTTGTACTATAACAAAATGGTGTAGATATATACGCAGTTAATTGTAACTTGTTGATCGTCAAAAAGTCGAACTTATATTTTATTCAATGATAAGGACTGTAGTGCAAATATACAATTTCCAAATATCTCTTGTGTTCTACATATTGACTTTATAGTGATGGATGCAAGTGATTGTTCTTTGATTACCCACACCCATCCACAGTTTGAATTCTAAATTTCAATATGCACCATATCTACTCGAATAAAGATCCTGAATGAAAGAAAATTTTCTCCGTATTGAATCATATGTCATTCACAAAAGGCAGCTAGATATCTTTATTATTTCGTTGATATAGGCTTGAAAATACCCTGTATACAAAAATATATTGGCAATAATATTTAAGAAGAATGACTACGTCTTTATATTAAGCTCTCACCAATTTTGAAAACTTGCAATCCGAAGTCGTAATTAAAACTAGAATGGCGTGTATACTTACAGTTCCTTTTGTCTTTTGAGAATAAAAAAATGTTGTATCATTTGAATGGTTGTTTGATTAAAAAATCTTGAAGAAAGAAAAACAGCATCACAATAGTTTATTTTATTTAAGACCTTACTGGGATTAAACTAGTGTGTTTGTTAACAAAATAATTTGACTATTGATACATGTGCTTTATATTATTCGATATAATAACTTCGTAAAATGGTGTTCATCATACAAAGAGAGATAGTTACAATGCACAAACGACTTGTTAAAATGATAAAAACAAGAAAAAAAAGTAATGAAATATGATACGTCAGTAACGAACAGTAAACACCATATGTAATGATCTTGAGAATGTTGGTGCATCTTCTATTAACCTTCACCCACGATCACACATAAAGACTCTGTGTAAACAGGTATATTAGGTATTCGATATTTCGCTCCCTTTAAATTATTGACAGTTTCTCTTCGGGATTAAAAGATTATACATATAGTTTTTGGATCATGTCGATGCATAGGGGTGGGTGACGGTATGGGTGTATCTGTAGGATGTATTTCGTGCGTATACCCTCAAGATAATCTGATTTGTCTGGACACCTTCAAAAACTGATCACCCCTTAGCGTGAGGGTGTGGGTATGCATATTATTTGATTCTATGAATCTCACCCACATTCACACCGACCCACACTCTCACACCCTCAATGTATGAAAGTTATTATGAAATGATTAAAGCATTGCATCATTCATAGATGCAATCTTCGAATGTTGTCATAAAAAGTAAATGCATCTGCTGGGGATCGAACCCAAATCGCTTATGTGGAAATCGAATACTCTATCATTGAGCTACCGATGCTTATTCTTATTATTTGAGCATTACTTCTTTGTTCTTTTCATATGTAATGATTCCCATCACTCTAAGTTCTCAACGGTTCATATTATTCTTAGACCTGATATAGTGTCGTAGTTAGAGATTATTAACAGAACAGCTTATCTCACAGGACACTCCAGAACGATACCAGTATTGTTGACGGTAAAAGCGTCAATATATACTACGTTTTCTGGTAGGAATGGCATTTCAAGAATAATATGTAATCAATTTTGATTCACTCGATATACAATATAGGAAAGAGGAAATGTGCATGATTTAGGTTAAATTATTACTAATATTCGATAAATATTACAACATGTCAAACAGTGATCTACATTTTACTCAACGTTGCTCTCATCTTAGCATCAATCACAAAGAAAAGGTGTTTTAGAAAAAGACGTAAATGTTCATTGTCATATTTTTGACATATAGAAGTCCATGCTGTAAGAAGTTGTTGTTACACGTTAAAAACTTGTCTTGAATTCGGTTGTGGAACTACCTGTAACAGTCGATGCAAACAATGTGATTATAAAAAAAAAGGTTCAATCCGAAGGTCTAGACTGGCAAACATGTTAATGCTCATAAGGAAATGCTTGAAGAAACTGAACATAAATATTGTATCAGTTGGCCATCAATATGGTTTGAATAAACAAATTTATTGCACAAGATCATTGTACATAGACGTAAGGCACATATATATCATTGAATCACAATGATCAGATAATCGACATAAGTAACGTGCTTTGATCATGCCCTAATGGGTGTGGGTGGGTGTGCGTCGCTTCTCTCTACTCACACTCACACCCATACTCACACACACCCACACCCAAAAATAATATCTTAACCTTAAGATTGCTTTTAACATACTTATGATCGACTAGATCATTGTTTTAGATTGCTACAATTTGTGAAAAAGAAAGTTAAATACTTTTCATTTGTAAAGTTTCATCGTTAAAAAACTGAATGATTGGCAACTGTATAGACTTACCACCTTGAGGGTGTGTGTGTGGGTATTATGTTCATCTCCTACCTACACCCTACGAAATAAAGTTATTAATCGATTGAAGTGTAACAATTTTAGAAAATCTCTGAACGTATTACTTTCGAATATTTATACAAACAACTTTGAAAATTTGTAATTAAAAAACTTGGTACAATTCTTTCTTGATGACTTTCCAAAATTTTATTATTTTTTTGTTGATTAAATATAAAACGGATACATTACAATGAAGCTAAATAAGAACAAAAAATTATATGCAGAGATTTCTAATAAAAAAATGATATATTGAAAATATATAAATAAAAGATAAGCTTTTGTACGAAGAATATGATATAGAAAATTACAATATTAGTTCATTTATGTAGTCATATATTTTATTGTGGATTAGCAAAATCAATAATCCTATAAAGTATATGTTCCAGTATTTGTGTTATATGTGATTATTGTGTTAGCTGCCACTGGATTTGATTGACCCGCTGAATAAGTTATCTGTGGCCCAGTTGCCGATTCTATTATATGACAAAAATATTTCAATTGTTAATAAAAAAAACAACATATGAAAAAGAACTTACGTTGCACACCTACAGTTGGTACACGGGTTCCAGAGTTCGTTTCAATATAAAAACATTTAACAATATTCGTTAAATTTTCATAAAAAATAATTTGAAATTGATTATTGGTTGATGGATCTGAAATAATACTTTCCATAAATTCGAAAGTTGTTATTCGATTAGGTGCTGACCCAGTGACACCGTAATAAATTCCTTGAATTGTACCGGCAAAAATGTATAGATCAGCCCAAAGTCCAAAAACTGTTGGACCAGCAAAATTTGCACTGGGAAGACTACTACTCGAATAGGAAGTACTGCAGCTACCAAGACAAAGAACCTAAAATATAGTCAATTGAATTTATAGTAATATTTCAAATATATACAGATATTTATTAAAAATTTTCATTTGATTCAGGACTTTACAGGAAAGCAAAGATTTTTATCTGTGAGCCTATTCTGATGAATTGAATATAAAGAAAACTTACTCCATTACTTGTCACAGTGATACTATTACTTGAATAACTATAGAGTGTAATGCTAAGTGGAAGAGTAATTGTTCCTAATGAATCATCGAAATTAGAACCTGTCAAAGCAGAAACTGCAACAGCACCAACGAGTCGAACCCTTCGCGTTATACATGTGCCACCTGAACAACTACTATTAGTAGATGGACAAACATAACCGACGGATCCACAATTATGAAAATCAAGTTGTGTATTAACACATGTTCCTGATGGTGTTGGAACGTATCCAGCAGGACAAATTGTTGTTGCTAAAATCATAGATATATTCACTAAAACATTCGATCTGCTAAAAGCCTACTTGCTGTTGTTGTCGTTGTAGTAGTTATTGTTATTGATATCGTAGTTGGTTCTAATTTAAAAAAATAAATTTAAAACGAGACAAGATTATTGGATGAAGTTTTGCTCATAACTTTTTATTTCATCTTTTGAAACAATGTATCGATTGTAGGTATGAATATCTTATAATAAGATATCATAGACATAAATATATTTTTTTTGTATTTCGATGGCTCACCTTACTTTTCTTCTACTATGGCAATTTTTATAATCAAATCTCTCAAATAATCTTCCTGATTTTCTTACTAAATATCAATTAAAGATTAGTTCTTCAATTTTCGAACATTCTTATTTAGTATCAAATATATGTTCTCCATATAATGTCCTCAACTAATGATTTCACTGCAAAATGTCATTTGTACTCTTATCGAAATAAATCCATATCGGACTGCATAGAAAGAAATTTTCATAGGGAAATACAAGACCACCACCATAACCAGTACATTTTGATTGTCTTAAATAGAACTATTGTTCGAACAAATGATTATATCATTCTAGAAATGAACTAATTAATTTATAGGAGAAAAGTATCTTTATCTATATTTTTCAAATGATTTTTTTCTAAATCTACTGTATTTATACGAACCAGGTGGAAATCTTGTTTCACTAATAACATTGGAATTTCCCATTCTCGTCAATAAAACTTTCGCCAACTGGACATTCGCCAATGGCGAAAGTCTGAAAATATATTGGCGAGAGTATGGTAAGCCTGCATTTATCTCCATTTCGACTTTTTTTGACAAAAATCGAGAGTGTGAGGGTGAGGGGGGTCTTAACTACTTAGTCCATACCCACACTCACACCCTTTTGTTCCCTTAACTACTTACGAGGGAACCACCCGAGGTGATGTCTCCCGTTTTCATTCATTCATATCTCATTTAGTTAAGTATATTCAGATAGTAAAAACCCTAAAGGGGGTTTTGCCCAATCTCATTCCTTCAGTGGTTGTCTTCATTTTACTGAATTTCCGACCTATTATTAGGTGTATACCTCAAAAAATAAACTACGGACTTTCGAGCTGAAATTTTGCCCATATAAAGGTCCAATAGTTATTAGAACATCCTGAAAGTTTCAGC